TTTCAGTAGAGGTGGGGTTTCTGTTACTGTCCCAGACAACAGTCACCTGCTCCCTTTGTCTCCTTTGACCCAGCCTGCTGGGGCTACTGACTGCTCATTCGAAGCCTATCGCTGGTTCACAGGGGGTTTGCTGGCTCCGAAATCTTGGAAGAACAATCACTTTAGGGCACATGATACCATGTCATGGGAGCTGTCAGCAGTTGAACAGAACCAGAGTTAAGGCAGAGTTAATACCACCTTAAGAGGATCAAACTTAGTGCACCCTTAACAGAAACAATTAGCTAATGCAACTTTCATAGACCAAGAGTGAACACAGACATAAGAAGATAACATTGAGTATCCCCTTGGCTGGGTGCGGTGGCTCACGCGTGTCATCCCAGCACTTTGGGAGGCCGAGGCGGGTGGATCACAAGGTCAGGAGTTCGAGACCAGCCTGGCCAATATGGTGAAACCCCATCTCTACTAAAAATAGAAAAATTATCTGGGCATGGTGGCAGGTGCCTCTAGTACCAGCTACTCAGGAGGCTGAGGCAGGAGAATCACTTGAACCCTGGGAGGCGGAGGTTGCAGTGAGCCGAGATCGCACCATAGCACTCCAGCCTGGCAGACAGACCCAGACCCAGTATCCTCAAAAAAAAAAAAAAAGTAGGGCCTATGGGAGGGATAGCATTAGGAGAAATACCTAATGTAAGTGACGGGTTGATGGATGCAGCAAACCACCATGGCAGGTGTATACCCACAGCAGACCACCATGGCAGGTGTATACCCACAGCAGACCACCATGGCAGGTGTATACCCACAGCAGACCACCATGGCAGGTGTGTACCCGCAGCAGACCACCATGGCAGGTGTGTACCCGCAGCAGACCACCATGGCAGGTGTATACCTACAGCAGACCACCATGGCAGGTGTATACCCACAGCAGACCACCATGGCAGGTGTATACCCACAGCAGACCACCATGGCACGTGTATACCCACAGCAGACCACCATGGCAGGTGTATACCTACAGCAGACCACCATGGCAGGTGTATGCCTACAGCAGGCCACCATGGCAGGTGTATACCCACAGCAGACCACCATGGCACGTGTATACCCACAGCAGATCACCATGGCACATGTATACCTACAGCAGACCACCATGGCAGGTGTATACCCACAGCAGACCACCATGGCACGTGTATACCCACAGCAGACCACCATGGCACGTGTATACCTACAGCAGACCACCATGGCACGTGTATACCCCCAGCAGACCACCATGGCAGGTGTATACCCACAGCAGACCACCATGGCAGGTGTATACCCACAGCAGACCACCATGGCAGGTGTACACCTACAGCAGACCACCATGGCACGTGTATACCCCCAGCAGACCACCATGGCAGGTGTATACCCACAGCAGACCACCATGGCAGGTGTATACCTACAGCAGACCACCATGGCACGTGTATACCTACAGCAGACCACCATGGCACGTGTATACCAGTGTAACAAACCTGCACATTCTGTACATGTATCCCAGAACTTAAAGTATAATAATAATAGTAATAATAATAATAATAAAACTTTTTGGGAGCAGAAAAAAAAAGATCAAGCTTAGTACACCCTTAACAGAAACAATTAGTTAATGCAACTTTCATAGACCAAGAGTGAACATAGACATAAGAAGATAACATTTAACATACCCTTAAAAGAACAATTATTTCACCCAACCCCAACAGGAATGAATACAACTTTAATGAATAAAACAGAACACAACGCTAGTTTTAAAAGGTTAACACAACATTAAAGAACAAGAATTCATATAGCTTTTTTGTTTTTTTTAAGACTGAGTCTCGCTCTGTCGCCCAGGCTGGAGTGCAGTGGTGCAATCTCAGCTCACTGCAACCTCCGCCTCCTGGGTTCATGCCATTCTCCTGCCTCAGCCTTCTGAACAGGTGGGATTACAGGCATGCACCACGCCCACCACGGCGCTGGCTACAGTTTTGCTGATGGGTTCAGTAGAGACAGGGGATTTGCCCTGTGGATTCCAGGCTGGTGCTCGAAGCTCCTGACCTCAAGTGATCTGGCCGGCCTCGGCCCAAGCATGCTGGC